TAAACTCTTGTCTTTCATCTTTTTGGGGATTTATATCTTATGATTAGTGCTATAGTCTTGTGCATATAATGAAACTTGGTTTTTCCAATGGTTTCTATGATTAATTCTTCCTATTGATTATCTATGGGATTACATGTTGTCTTATGTGTGATTATTTGAGGATCATTCTCTATACTAGATATTTTTACTAATTGTATTTAGTGACAGCAATGCATGATACTTATTGGATGCATTTGTTGATTAATTTGATGGGTCATGCTTAAACTTGATGGGTTGTGCTACACCTTAGTTTACTTGCTGTTAGGTAGACAATTCATGCTTGAATTTGATGGTCTATTACTTATTATTGCAAATCGCATCATCCTCTTGATTGATGTGTGATATAATTGTCAATTAATTTGATGGGTTATAGTTTAGTCTTGGTAGGTTGTTCTACACCTTAGTTAATTGTAGTTAGGTAGATAATTTATGCTTGATTTGACAATTCATGCTTATTATTGAGATTAGTAGTATCATCTTGATTAATGTGTGTTCTTATTAGATATACTTGAATTGGATAGTCCCATGCTTAAAATTGCAAGTTTTACTAATGATTGTAACTACATTTTTTATTACAGGAATGTTTTCCCCAATTAGTTGAAAGCATGTGGTTTAGTAAATGAGTTTAGTGGTGACTCCTATGCCCTAAGCCTCTCTTCCTATCATTCAAACCCTAGCTCACTTAGTTTAATTTACTTGCATTTTCATTTAATTGAACTTTAGTGTAATGAACCAAACCAAATTCTCTTTTGCAATCTTGTGGTCCACTAAAGTCAAAGTTAGATTCCAACTACGTGTTTAATCCCTGTGGACGATCCCTACTCGCTATATTACATAATAGTAGTAGTAGTTTTATAAATGTAAATTTGACTTTTAAAACTTCCAAAACCACATTCATTTTTACCTTGTGAAATGACCTCTCGTGATACCTGTCACTTAACGTATATGTGTTAAGTGGGTTTTATAAATGTAACACATTTTTGTGTACACACCAAAGAAGTATCAATGCCCCTCAAGATTCTCTTCACAAAAATAATAAAAGATGAGTAAATGTTGAAATTACTTAAAAGGGCTCACATAAAATTAGAAACTAAAATTATATAAAATATAATTATAAGTAATAAATAAAAATAAAAATATATTGTAATATATATATATATATATATATATATATCTTTAAATCAAATAAATAATTTTTATTATTATCTTTACCTAAAAAATAAATGAAATATAATGTAATATATATATATCTATATATATAAAGTCAAGTGCCAAATCATATTCCTATAAATAATTACTGAATAGTAATATAAATAAATATAAAAATACTATATATTTGCTATAAGAAATAAACTATTTTCTTTTATACAAATGACAAATCATTAATGCTTGACCAAAGATTTCACTCTTAAAAGAGTATATAATAGGTATATACATTTAGGTGCATAAATATTCGCTTATTGATGTGTAATTTTATTCTACTTTTTTTTTTTTTTTTGGTAAATTTATATTCAATTATTTGATTTGATGAAGTTGGGAAAATAAATTACTAGCATAATATGTAAAACACTTTTATGTTTTAAAAAATATTATTATTTCTATAATATATATATATATATATATATATATATATATATATATATATATATATATATATTATTGTATATATACACACAACACATCATCTCACACATGGACATGTAGAGAACCTCACCCATTAGGATATAAGTAGAATTTTCGAAGAAAGATAAAATTTAAGTTATTTATTATTTATTATTATTAGTATTAAAGAAATAGAATTTATATATGTGGGAGAGAGCTGCTAGAGAGACAAAGAATGAGAAGAAAAAATTTTTATACAAATAAAAATTATAGAGAGAGAAAATAAAATAAAATATAAATAGAGTATTTATAAAGAGAGATATAATGAAATTGGGGTATTATACATAGAAATGAGGGAGAAATAAATGTGGGACAGTTTGGAAAGTTCAAAAGGGTAGTGTTGGAATTAAAGACTCTTTTGGTCACATGACCCACAAATGTCACTTTCTGGGGTCAGAAGTTCTTGTTTGCTCATTTTTCATACTATAAGGGTGGGATTTGAACAAGATGAGTGTTATTTGCACACTTTTCAAACTACAGAGGTTTTTTTTGCACTTCTAAGGCCTTAAGCGAATGTGAGACCCAAAATTTTGAGAGGCCCTAGTAATACAAATTCTTGGCCCTAAATTGGAGGCCCTATGCAACCGCCTGGATCGTCTAGGCCTAGGACCGACCTTGAGTATTGATATCGTAAATTATTGTTTAATGAGAAGTAATTGTGGTCCAAAAATGCAGAACCATAACCCGTTGCAAAATCGAAATAAATAACAATCTAGATCTTGTAACATAATATGAGCCACATAAGTAGATTTTGATAGGTCTCATAATATTATATGCAATTTGACAGCTTCCCTGATAAAAAATGAGAGCATAATAATAATTATTATTGTTTGTTATTATTATTATTATTAATATCACTCTAAATCAAAAAAAATTAGTCACCCTCACCTAACTCAAAATTTAAATTAAAAGTGAAGCTTATCTGTAATTATTTTTTTAGGTTTAATTGGGTGCAACTTCTTTAAACACTATAAAAACATTCACCTTATTTCTTGAAAGGAAATTAACCCACCTATACATTAGCTTTGAAGCATTTAATACGGCTTTGTTAGCTAAACAGGGTTGGAACTTTCTGGTTCTTCAGCATTGATTGGCTTTTAAGTTGTTTAAAGCCAAATATTTTCGCCATTGTTCCTTTTTGGACGCCCTGCTGGGATCTAATCCTTCATGAGCTTGGCGTAGTATATGGTTTACTCAATCTCTTATTGTGATAGGTTCTCGACGGATTGTGGGCGATGGGAGGTCTATTTATATATGGGAGGATCGTTGGGTTCCTGGTCTGTCTCATTCGCTTCTATTACCATCTATTTCTGTGGCTCCTCAGTTTGTGGTTGACTTGATTGATCATACCAACCAAGGATGGAATGTGGGTTTGCTTCAACAGTTGTTTCCACCGGGCATTGTTGACTCTATCTTTAAATGTAGTTTTAGTTTATTATCTAAAGAGGATGTGTTGGGTTGGAACTTAGAGACCAATGGTATGTTCTCTGTGAAATCTGCGTATCATTTGGCCTATCAAATGTTGTGCAGTGGCGGTAGGTCTTTGGAGATCTCCTCTTCGGATTCTGTTGCTCAGTTGTTGTGGGATAGTATTTGGTCTTGTAAAATCCTACCCAAGATCAAGCATTTCCGGTTGAGGTGTTGTAAGCTGGCTCTTCCAGTTCTAAAATGTCTCCTTGATCATAGCCTCGCTGTTGAGACTGTGTGCCCTCGTTGTGGATTGGATGAGGAATCTATTGAGCATTTGCTTTTTCTGTGCCCTCAATCGGTTCAGATTTGGAAGCTTACCCCGTTTTGGTTTGATTTGGTTGTTGATTGCCCTTCTTCCTTTGTCGATTGGTGGTTGGGTTTGATTCGTCAGTGGGGGCGCCGGGAGAGGGGGGGTCAGATGTGTTGGGTTTGTTGCTTACTGCGGTTGGTTTATTTGGAAGGCTCGTAATAAGCTTGTTTTTAATGGAGAGGGTTGAATTACTCAACGGGTTGTTAATTTGGCTTGTTCTTATTTTTGGGAGTTCAAGTATGCCTCAAGTTCCTTGCATTTGGGTTTGCCACACAGTTTGCTTGGGGACAGATCCAGGTCGCTGGTTTCTTCTTTCTTCAGGTATCATAAAAGGCTGAGGGTATCTTTCTCCGTAAAGTCATTTTATAGGCTCTGTCTTTTTCTTTTGATCAAGGTTGGTTTGAATGTGACTCTCTAGTTGTGGTTAAGGTTGTGTCTGGTGTTGATCCTGGGCCTATAGAAATTCATGCGCTCTCTTTTGATGTTAAAGTGGCGCTTCAGAGTTTTTCCTCATCTTATCTTAGCCATGTTCATAGGCATGGCAATAAGGGTGCCCATACTCTTATTTTGTCCGTATTTTTCAAAACAGGTAAATTTCTATTATGCTTTTTTATTACAAAATAAAATAATCATTTCATAGTACCTTTTTCTTTTCATATATTTTTTTCAAGCATCATGAATATTATTATTATATTCTATTTATTTTTCATTCTCAGTTATGTTTCTTTTGTAATTATTATTATCATTTCTCTTTTTTATTTCTAATTATTCAAATGGAGCAATTTTTTTTTTTTTTACCTGACAATGTTAGTGTGTTCAGAGGGGAGGGGGAAGATGCGATTTGAACTTGTAGCTACCGTGCCATACCGCTCCCCCTTCAAATGGAGCATTTGTCTCACCAAGTCGAGAAAGAAAATATAAAAAAGAAAGAAACAAAAATTTGGTACTTCACATAAAAATTTGGCACGCGATCTTATGATTGTGTTGTCCCTAGGGATGGAGCCAGAATTTTTGTTTGGGGGCACCTTGTACACTAAATACATATAAATTAATATTTATGGAGTATATATATATAAAGAGAAATAGGTGGATAAATATAGATAGAGATTGATATTTTTGAAATGAGGTAAATTAATAAATTACATATATATAATATAATGAAATAATTTAAGAAAAAAAATTTAAAGAAACATATAGAGTATACAAGGGAAGGAGAAATTTGAGGGGGGCACTTTTACACATTTTTAAAAAATATATGCCTATTATAGGAAAATATATATATATAATAAGGAAAGGAAAAAATCCAGGAGGGGCATGTGCCCTCCCTGGTCCTATACTGACTCCGTCCCTGGTTGTACCCGTTGTCTTAGTGAGGCCTACTTCGAGTATTCGCGCTCAATAACTACTAATCAAGTATTTTTGGCCTAAAATAAAAAAGAAATTTGATGTGGCGATTTGTGATTAGCTTAGAGTGGAAGCATTTTATATACACGGTGCAGAGGATTTCTCCCTATTTCTGTGGCATTGCAGTTTCCACATCTCTACATTCATTCAATCCGAACGTTGCCTTTCAAGTTTCAACTAAAACCAAAAAATTTAAATTAAAAAAAAAAAAACAAAAAAAAAAAAAAGAAAGAAAGAAAGAAAAGGAGTTCAACAATGGAAGTTCTGTTCAGTCCCTGCAACTCTAGACCTCCAATGGCAACGCCATTCAAACAAGAGAAACCTTTTGAATTTTCATCAAAACCTCATAAACCCAGAACATTCAACAAGACCCACCAATCATTATCCATAAAAAATGAACCCATAATCACAGATTCCCATTTGAATCACCTCTGCAGGATCGGAAAGCTCAGCGAAGCCATACATGCCCTTGACTCCATTGCCCAACGCGGGTCCAAGGTAAGACCCAACACCTTCACCCGCTTGATACAGTCTTGCATTGATACAAATTCAATCCATTTAGGCAGAAAACTGCATACGCATATTAATTTGCTTGGAGAGTCTGACCCATTTGTTGAGACTAAATTACTTGGTATGTATGCAAAATGCGGGTCTTTAGGAGATGCCCGTAAGGTTTTTGATGAAATGCGTGAGCGAAACTTGTATACTTGGTCGGCCATGATTGGTGCGTTTTCGAGAGAGAAGAGGTGGAGGGAAGTTGTAAACCTTTTCTTTTCGATGATGGAAGACAATGTTGTTCCGGACGAGTTTCTGTTTCCGAAGATTCTAGAGGGTTGTGGGAATTGTGGGGACGTGAGAACCGGGAGGTTGATACATTCAATAGTGATTCGATGTGGGATGAGTTCTGAAACCCGTGTTAACAATTCTCTTTTGGCCGTGTATGCAAAATGTGGGAATTTGAGCTTGGCAAGGACGTTTTTTGAGAATATGGAGGGGAAGGACACGGTGTCTTGGAATTCAATTATAACTGGATATTGTCAAAAGGGTGAGATTGGAGAGGCACGCCGATTGCTTGATTTGATGTATGAAGAAGGGATTGAACCTAGTTTGGTAAGTTGGAACATTCTGATAATGAGTTATAACCAGTTGGGGAACTGTGATATTGCAATAGAGACGATGAAGGAGATGGAGAGCTTTGGGATTGCTCCTGATGTTTTCACTTGGACCTCTATGATTTCAGGGTTTGCTCAAAATAACCGGAGAAGCCAGGCGCTGGAACTGTTCAGGAAGATGTTTTTGGAAGGAGTTGAACCAAACGGCATCACGCTTATGAGTGCAATCTCAGTGTGTGCGTCTCTTAAAGCTCTAAGCAAGGGGAAGGAACTACATTCGATTGCAGTTAAGATGGGATTTTCTGGAGATGTACTAGTTGGTAATTCACTGATTGACATGTATTCCAAGTGTGGGGGGGAACTTGAAGCTGCTCGGCGGGTCTTTGATATGGTCTTAGAGAAAGATGCCTACACTTGGAACTCAATGATTGGAGGATATTGCCAAGCAGGCTACTGCGGCAAAGCTCATGATCTCTTCATGAAAATGCACGAATCAGATGTACCACCTAATGTAATCACGTGGAATGTGATGATCACAGGATACATGCAAAATGGAGATGAGGAACGAGCAATGGATCTATTCCAGAGGATGGAGAAAGATGGAGTTAAGCGTAATACTGCATCATGGAACTCTCTCATCGCTGGCTATTTGCAAAATGGGCACAAAAATAAGGCATTGAGGATATTTCGACAAATGCAATCTTTCAGAGTTAGACCCAATTCAGTCACCATTTTGAGTGTATTACCCGCCTGTGCAAATTTAGTTGCTGCAAAAAAGGTGAAAGAGATACATGGCTGTATATTTCGCAGAAGTCTAGAATCTGAGCTCTCTGTTGCAAATATTCTTATAGATGCTTATGCCAAATCAGGTAATATAGTGTATTCAAAAACTATATTTGACAAGATGTCAACGAAAGATATCATCACCTGGAACACACTGATTGCTGGTTATGTTTTACACTGTTGTTCGTATGCTGCACTTGATCTTTTTGATCAGATGACTAAGATGGGACTTAAACCAACCAGAGGTACTTTTGTGAGTCTTATCTCTGCATATGGTCTCCTTGGAATGGTTGATGAGGGCAAGCGTATTTTCTCTGGCATGTCTGAAGACTACCATATTTTACCAGGTTTAGAACATTGTGCAGCTATGATACATTTATTTGGTCGTTCAGGTAGACTTGAGGAAGCATTTAAGTTCATTGAAGGCATGGCCATAGAGCCCGATTTCTCTGTCTGGGATGCCTTATTAACTGCCTGTAGAGTTCATGGAAATATTAGATTGGCGGTGCATGCAGTCGAACGATTATTTGAACTGGAAACAGGAAATGCCTTGTTTCAGCGATTAGTTTTACAGACATACGAGTTACGCGGGATTTCTGATGATTATTTGAATGTCAGAAAACCTGGAATAAGGAATGACTCTAAAGAATCTGTTGGGTGGAGCTGGATTGAAATTAAAAACACAGTGCATACTTTTGTTGCAGGTGATAAGTGTAAACTGAATGCAGAAACTCTTTATTCTTGGATAAGAAGCGTGGAAGGAGAAATTGGAGGACCCTATTCTCATGCTGGGCTTTGCATTGAGGAAGAAGAGTGGGAAGAAATTGATGGGGTTCACAGTGAAAAACTTGCATTTGCATTTGCCTTCACTGTGTCTCCTCAAACATCTCAAACTATTCGGATTGTGAAGAACCTGAGAATGTGTGGAGATTGTCATAGGATGGCCAAATTTATCTCCAAGACACACGGGCGTGAAATATATGTGAGTGACTCAAAGTGCTTACACCATTTTAAGAATGGACACTGTTCTTGTGGGGATTATTGGTAGATAAAAGAATTCAAGAATCATATGAATTGATTGTTAGTTTTTCCAAGAAAAATACCGTTTGTTTGCTGGACCAAAATCTTTTTCATCCTTTTGGACATTTTGAGAGGCTTGGCCCACGGTAAGGTTGATTCACTGCTTCACTGCGATCTCCATGTCTTTGCATGTGAAAGTAAGACTGCATACTTTTGACTCCAGATCCCAACCCCGCAATGGTGGATTCATGCGCTGGGTATCCCTTTAGACCTTCCACACATTCCGCTACAACAGAAGGTGATGGCACAATTTGATTCTTTGTTTTCTTTGTTGTAGTAGATGGAATTAATTGTTTTGAAACTTTACATATTATATTCTTGGTTAGAAATTTTCAAAAATCCGGGATTTCTTGAGTTTGAAATCTCTGTTCAAGTATGTAGCAAGTCAGTACAATGTAAAATCACATATCGTGGCTTTCTAAAGTACATGTATACATTTTTAAATATATGATCAAACTGCTTTGAATTGTAATGATAATACTAATGTTATGTTTGGAGCACCAAATTGGTGTCTTGATTTGGGATTGAAAGAAGTATAAGTAAAATTTGTATTAATTTTTTTTTAATCCTAGATACAAGGCACCGACTCGGTGCCGCCAAACATAACATAAGGGAAAACTACACTGATTTGAGGTCTGTTATTATAACTACAGTTTTATAGAGACAAACTAGGTATTTTGAAATTTTAAATTGTTGACATAAAACCAAAAAAACAAGAAAAATGAGGTTGGGCGAGGTTGGGTCTTCCAAAAACCTTAGGGAAGGTCACTCTCATTTGCCTTCATAGGCACGACAGTGAGAGTGTGACTCTTCGAGATGTACAATAATCTTTCTTTTGTGGTTTTTTTTTTTTTTGGTTATTAAAAAATAACAATTTGTTGGTTTTCTTCTTATCTGCATAGATAGAGTTACGATATAACAAAGATTCGTTAGCACGTTAAATCCTAAAATGATAAAACACGAATATGACATAGAAACGATTATATATAAATATAAAACTTTATTTATATACATTTATTGAGTACGACTATTATAGAATTTTAATTCATTTTTAATTCTTATACTAATAGTTACTCCCACATAATTTAAAAGATGAAGTTATGTAATATTATAATGATAAATATATGCTATACCATTCTACTACTTTGTCATAAAAATTATATTTTTTGATTTATATGAAAATGTGTAGTTGCCTGCTTCGCTTGTGACCTGTCTATAATGCCAAATTTTTAAAGGAAACGTTTATCGCATTGAAATGTGTTCATATTATCTCTATGATCACTAAGATGACTCTTATAGATGTATATGTGTGTTATGTAAGATTCATGTTGTGACCATGTATATAATACGGATTTTTTTAAAAGAAAAAGTTGGTCACATTGAAATGTGTTCATATTATTTTCAGGATTCCTAAGAATGACTACTGTTGATGTATTTAGCACATGGGTATATATAAATAAAAATTTAATTTCCTAATCTACAGGGAAATTGCTTTTCCCTTTTTATTCGTTTCCTTTCCTTTCCTTCAAAGGAAAGAAAAGGCCTAAGCATGAATTCGAAGAAACCATTTCTCATCAAGGGCCAATCAACGTAAAAAAAATATAAATAAGACAACTATTTTCGGTTCTTATGAATATTGTAATTAAATTGCTTATGTTCTCGTGTTAAATTTAGGTTTCATGATTGGAAAAATGCTTCTTGTTTGTTGATGATCCGTGTCAAATGTGCACAAGGCAACTTTAGGGGGCAAGCATCCTCTCCATTTGTAATCCAACCAAGCTGGTTAGTAAAACGAATAAGGCCGTGTTTGGTTGGTCCAATAGACCATCTCAATGTGAGTTCTTTGTTCACTTTTTAACCCCATTTTTTAGATTGAAAAACATCACAAATTCTGTTAATAAATCAAAGGGTTTCCTTAGACTATAAATAATAACAATGTCTCCTCAGACTATTCCCGAAAAATCCAAATACATACATTTTTTAAGGAGCGTTGTCCGCTTACATATAGCCAAACACCCTCCTTCTTAATATCTGAAACCTCTTTGTAGACTATTTTTTTTTACCCAAGCCCTTCTAGGTGTTGGAGACCAACTATCCCAATTTACCCAACCCTAGAAGAGTAAAAAAAAAATTGTAAAACTTAAAAATATCTGTTTTCTATCACAAAACAGAAAAACACGTGTAAGCAACGTCACACGATGTTACAAGCAGCCTAAGGTGGCTGTCGCACAAGTAGCAAGGCTACTAAAAGGTGTGGAAAGATGTTGGCTCTGATACCAACTAGAAAAATAAAAAGAAGATAAAGGAGAGAATTGCATAAAGGCTTGAATGAGATGAATTACTCATTCACAGCTCTAGTATTTATAGATAAAAAAGAGCACATGCTTATATTACAAGAATGGAAACTAAATCAAATTACAACCTATTCTAAAGCATATTCTATAGCATAGTCAAATCTCTGCTATAATGGTAAGTCATTTCATAAATCGTGGCTATCATATATGCTAACATATGCGTAGCCAAATCTCTGTTATTATGGTAAGTCATTCCATAAATCGTGGTATCATATATGCTAACACTCCCCCTCAAGTTGGTGCGTGGATATTTGGAAACGCCCAACTTGGACAATATATTCTTAAACACAATCTTGTTGATGCCTTTGTAAGAATGTCTGCAAGCTGCTGAGAGCTTGTGACAAATGGAGTGCAAATTTGACCAGAGATGATCTTCTCTCGAATGAAGTAACGGTCCACCTCTATATGCTTAGTCCTGTCAAGCTAAATGGGATTTGTTGCTATGCTAATGGCAGACTTGTTGTTGCAGTAGAGTGAGAATGGAAGTGACACTGGAAGGCACAAGTCTGTCATCAAGATTTTCAGTCATAGCAACTCACCTACCCTAAGAGCCATAATCCTATACTATACCTTTGCACTAGATCGAGAGACAATATCCTGTTTCTTACTGCACCAAGTAACCAAGTTACCTCTAATAGTGTTACAATAACCCGAAGTTGACCTCCTATCTAAAATTGATCCTGCATAATCAACATATGTCCAAGCCTCAACACGTAAGTGACCATGATTGGTAATCAAAATATCACGACCTGAACACCCTTTTAAGTAGCGAAGGATCCAAATAGCTGCATCAAGGTGAGGGGCACGAGGAGAGTGCATGAATTGACTTACGACACTCACGGTATAAGTAATGTCAGGTTGAGTCATAGATAAATAAATTAGCTTCCCTACAAGTCGTTGATACTGACCAACATCCAACAACAACTCCCCCTTAGAATCAGCCAACTGATGATTCTACTCAATCGGAGTATCAGCAGGACAATCGCCAAGCTGACCAGAAGCAGAAAGCAAGTAAATAACATACTTGCGTTGAGAGATGAAAATGTCAATCTTGGAGCGAGCCACCTTAATGCCCAAGAAGTACCGTAGGGGACCAAGATCCTTAATCTCAAACTGACGGCCTAGATAGCTTTTAACATTATCAATTCCGGTAATATCATCTCCATAAGAACAATATCATCAACATACACAATGAGAGCAACTGTCTTACCGCCTAAATGACGTAAAAACAAGGTATGATCAATTGCACTTTGATGGAAACCAAACTAGAGTATGGCAGTGCCAAAGCAATCAGACCAAGCTTAAGGAAACTGCTTAAGGCCATGCAGAGAACGATGAAGACAACATACCATACCATAATGAGCAGGAGAACGAAAGCCCGGAAGAGGAACCATGTACACCTCCTCTTACAAATCTCCATTAAGAAAGGCACTCTTGACATTTAACTGAAATAGAGGCCAAGATTGAATCACAGCAACGAAAAATAATACACAGATGGTATTCATCTTGACAACAGGGGCAAAAGTTTCCTGGTAATCTATACCATAAGTCTGAGCATAACCCTTGGCAACTAATCGGACCTTGTAACGAGTGACCTATCTAGATTATGCTTAACTGTAAACACCCAACGACAACCCACAACTTTTCGTCTAATAGGAAGCGGAACCATGTCCCAAGTTTGATTTTTCTCAAGTGCTTATAGTTCTTCTGTTATAGCATCACGCCATTGAGGTTGTGCTAGTGTATCTGTAACCCTAAAAGGAAGAGGAATCGAGGCAACAGAAACAAGAAAACTCTGATAGGAGGGTAAGAGAACATAATCAGAAACAAAATTAGAAATAGGGTATGTACAAGAACGTTTACCCTTTCGAAGAGTAATGGGGCGATCATTAAGCAAAATAATAGCTTAAGAACAAGGCAATCAATCGTGGGAGTAGAAGCTTGTACCTATTGTCTCCGACTATAAACCTGTAAAAAAAAACAATTCCCCCTACTGGAGGGGTATCATGAGGAGGAATCATAGAAGATGAAACAGGTAACGATAGAGGAGTTAAAGACTGAAGAATGTGATCATCCATTATATTCAATGGAACTATTCACTTAAGAACTAACTGAACCGCTAAGGTATGTTGTATGCTCAAAGAAATAAACATCTATGGATATAAACCGCCGACGACTGGGAGGATGGTAACACCTATAACCGTTTTGAGAGTGAGAATAGCCCAAAAACACACCATTCAAAGCCTTAGGGTCAAGCTTTATACAAGTCTGCCCAAACTGCTGAATAAAGCACACACACCCAAAGACTCGCGGAGGAATCAAAAAAAGAGATAAATTGGGATGTCAGATTGAGAGTGTGGCTGCAAAGTTAAGAACCCTAGAAGGAGTCCTATTAATCATGTAAACAGCTATAAGAACTACATCTCCCCAAAATGACTGTGGAACATTCATGCCAATGCAAATTGCTCTGGCTAAGTCATGGATGTGGCGATTCTTTCTCTCAGAACAACCATTCTGTTGAGGAGTTTTAACATTAGCCATCTGATGCTCAATCCCAAATTCTATACATAACCGTTTTACCTCCCCATAAGTATACTTTGTACCCTAGTTAGATCTGAATTTTTTAATGGTACGACCATATTGGGTCTGAACCATTGTCATAAAATTTTTAAAAATGGTGTATACCTCATTTTTGGTTTTCATAAGATAAACCCATGTAACACGACTATAATTATTAATGAACAACATGAAATATCGAAATCCAAGACTCGAAGTAACTGGGCAAGGACCCTATACATCTGAATAAACAAGATCAAAAGGTGTTAAAACTACTAGCAGGATAATTGGAATGAACATGTTTAGCCATATGACATGTCTCATGTGATAAATCTGACACTGTCATGTTACAAAATAAGGAAGGAAATAAATGTTTTAAATAACCAAAAGAAATATGTCCTAAACGCATGTGCCAATGCATAAGCTGGGCTTTATTAGATGAAACAATATTAGAAAATGAAGCTGAATGCGCTTAAGGTAACAAAGGAGCATCCAACAGGCACAAACTGTCCACTTTATGCCCACTGCCAATCGTCCA